AGACAGGGTTTCACCATGTTGGTCAGGCTGGTCTTGAACTCCTGACTTCAAGTGATCCACCCACCTCACCTTCCCAATGTGCTGAGATTACAGGTGTGAGCCACTGTGCCCAGCCTCTTTTCTTTTCTTTCTTTCTTTCTTTTTTTTTTTTTTTGAGACAAGATCTCGCTCTGTTACCCATGTTGGATTGCAGTGGCCTGATCATGGTTCACTGGAGCCTGGAACTCCTGACCTCAAGTAATCCTCCTGCCTCAGCTTCCTGAGTAGCTGGGACTATAGGCACAAGCTGACCTGCATGGCTCATTCATTCATTCATTCATTCATGCCATGGAGATGGCATATCTCTATGTTGCTCAGGCTGGTCTCGAACTGCTAAGTTCAAGGGATCCTCCTGCCTCAGCCTCCTAAAGCACTGGGATTACAGATGTGAGCCACTGCGCCCGGCCAGTTTTCTTTCTGAATGAAGTCAGCTTAATGACATTCCCTAGAGGCCTTCATGATGCTGCAAGGCAGGCAAACCCCAAAGGAAGGCTTGGCTGGCAAGGGCTCTGGGCTTTAGCCAGGAAGGAATTCAAGGGCGAGCCGGTGGAAGGGCAGAAGAAGGCAGTTTTATGAAGGCGGCAGCGTTATAGCTCCGTGACTAGTCTCGCGGGATAGGACTGCCCCACAGGCCATGTGCTGACGGTAGTAGCTGAGGACAGTTTCGCACTCATATTTGTACCTACTTTTAATTACCAGTAGATTAAGAGGCAGTTTATACAGAAATTTCTAGGGAAGGGGTAGTAACTTTTGGGCTGGAAGATCATTGCCATGGAAAGGGGTGGTAACTCCTGGGTGTTGCCATGGCAATGGTAAACTGACATGGCACACTGGTGGGCATGTCTTATAGAAACCTGCTTCTCTCCAGGCCCTGTTTCAGCTAGTCTTCAATTTGGTCCAGTGTCTGAGCCTCACCTCCTAACTCAATGATGTTGCTACAGAGTCTGCCTTAGAAAAGTTCACCAAGGGCCGGGCACGGTGGCTCACGCCTGTAATCCTAGCACTTTGGGAGGCCGAGGTGGGCAGATCACGAGGTCAAGAGATCGAGACTATCCTGGCCAACATGGTGAAACCCCACCTCTACTAAAAATACAAAAATTAGCTGGGCGTGGTGGTGTGCACACCTGTAGTCCCAGCTTCTCAGGAGGCTGAGGCAGGAGAATCACTTGAACCTGGGAGGCAGAGGTCGCACCGAGCCAAGATTGTGACACTGCACTCAAGCCTGAGGGACAGAGTGAGACTCCATCTCGAAAAAACAAAACAAAACGAAAAAAACCAGGAAAAGTAAAAAGAAAAGCTCACCAAGTATCAGCATAGGAAGTCAACTGAAAATAAAACAAGATCCCATGTCAGCCACAGTCCCACTCGGCCCCTCACCTGTAATCACAAATTTCATGCTTCCTGTTGATGGATATATACATTTCTTCACACTAAAGTTAAAATTCAGTATCTTTTTTTCCCCCCCTTTTTTGCTTTTCTTGATGGGAGCGGGTATAAAACTTAATATCTTAATTTAACCCGTGAGTTTAAAAAAACCCAATCTAGGCTAGGCATGGTGGCTCACACCTGTAATCACCTGAGGTCAGGAGTTCAAGACCAGCCTGGCCAACATGGTGAAACCCTGTGTGTACTAAAAATACAAAAGTTAGCCGGGCCTGGTGGTGGGTGCCTGTAATCCCAGCTACTTGGGAGGCTGAGGCAGAAGAATTGGTTGAACCCGGGAGGCGGAGGCTGCAGTGAGCCAAGATCGTGCCATTGCACTCCAGCCTGGGCAATGAGCGAAACTCTCTTAAAAAAAAAAAAAAAAATCCAATCGATATGGTTGGGATCACTAAGTTCAATAGTCCTTGTTGTTGTTACAAGGAATCTAACTTTCATTAACTCATCATGCTAGGGGAAAACCAACTCATTATTTGTGGGAAACGTTTTTGGTAATTGGTACTTAGAAATGTAAAACTCACATCAGTTACATAGGGCATTAACATATTTTACTGATAGTAGCTCCCTGATATGTAAGGTAATGAGAGGCAATACCAAAAAACCCACCGAGATTGTGTGTGTGTACGTGTGTAATATTAAATATCACATCAGAGTGTGTGTGTGTGTGTGCATGTAATATTAAATATCAATTTGATTGAGGAGGCAGAAAGAGTTTAGCACTAGGCCAGGGCTTGTCCCCAGAGGCCACACACTGGGAATGCACTTTCCTCTCTGGTCTCAGCCCAGGTGCAGCTGCCAGGTGCCACCTTGCTAACGACTCATGTCTTGAGCTTCACCTCTGCCCCTGCATGGCTTGGATACCCTCGGGCTCACTGGCTGCCTGACACCATCCACCAATTGGGAAAGGGAGATGCATTTTGCTCACAGAAACCTCACAAATGTAGAATATCTTTTTTTCTTTTTTGAGATGGAGTCTCACTCTGTTGCCCAGGCTGAGTGCCATGGTGTGATCTTGGCTCACTGCAACCTCTGCCTCCTGGGTTCAAGCGAGTGTCCTGCCTCAGCCTCCTAAGTAGCTGCAATTACAAATGCGCGCCACCACACCCAGCTAATTTTTTTTTTTTTGTATTTTTTAGTAAAGACGGGGTTTCACTATGTTGGTCAGGCTGGTCTCGAACTCCTTACCTCATGATCCACCCACCTCGGCCTCCCAAAGTGCTCAGATTACAGGTGTGAGCCAGTGTGCCTGGCCAGAATATAATTTTTGAAACATTTTGCCCATAGCCTTTACGGATTTGGGGTTACAACCTGGGCTTATTTTGCAGATCCATTTATCAACGTGTCTTGTGATGTGAAGTTCAGGGGCAAATGCTATGTCAGTCTGTGTGTGCCTGTAAGCCATGCTCACCTCTCTTTTTCTGCAAAGTCATTCTGTAACTTCTGTTCCTTCTCAAGAGCTATGGTTTCGGCTTGGTTCTTCAGTGTCTGTTCATATTCTCGGATTTTCTCTTTAAGTGCTTTTATCGTAACCTCTGCAGAAAAGAAAAAAAAAAAACCTACAGTAAGAGAAGCACACAATTCCATATGGCTGTAGGTACAAGGCTCTCATAACCTGGTAGGATCGGTGTGTTTTAAACCTTAGCTCTTCAACTCTGACACAAAATCAATGGTTACGAGTCCCTTCGGAGACTTTTTACTCCCTAAATGTTAAATTGAACTTTAAACGTTTAGGCTGAGGAGGATCAATGGATTTCGCTGAAAAGAAGAGCTTTGGTTTCTCTAGTACCAGTCAAAGAAAAAAGGCGGGGGGAGGGGAGATGGAAATCAATGGTAAAATATCATATCATCTTATTGATGAGTCTTCAATTAGTCCTGTAACTGAGGGATGATTAATAAAGTTTTAGGTGGGTTTAAGTATTTTCTCAGAAAACAAAAAAGTTCATAATGGCGTGTGCATTTTGGAAGAAGCAATCGAAGTGGAGTCAAGAAAGTCTCCGGTACCCCATTCTCTATGACGTGATGTTTCACACTGCATGCCTGTATCAAACATCTCATGTACCCTATAAATATATACACCTACCATGCACCCACACAAATTACAAATAAATTTTTTTAAAAAAAGAAGAAAGTCTACAGGCCAAGCACAGTGGCTCACATCTGTAATCCCAGAACTTTGGGAGGCCGAGATGAGAGGATCCCTTGAGCCCAGGAGTTTGACGCCAACCCTAGAAACACAGCGAGCCCTGCCTCTACAAAAAGGGCAAGAATTAGCTGGATGTGGTGGCGCACACCTGCGCCCAGCTTAGGGACTCGGGAGGCTGAGGTGGGAGGATGTCTTGAACCCAGGAGTTTGAAGCTGCAGTGAGCTATAATTGTGCCACTGCACTCCGGTCTGGGTGACAGAGTGAGGGTGAGTGAGTGAGTGAGAGAGAGAGAAACAGAGAGAGAGAAATAGAGAAACAGAGAGAGAGAAATAGAGAAACAGAGAGAGAAAGAAAGAGAGGGAGACAGAAAAGGAAGAAAGGAAGGAAGGAAGGAAGGAAGGAAGGAAGGAAGGAAGGAAGGAAGGAAGGAAGGAAAGAAACAAGCAAGCAAGCAAGACGGCCTGGCCCTGCAGCTCTGCTGGTTCACAAGTGACAAGAAACGCGCAGTCCTAGGTGGAGAAAGCATGGAAGGGACTGGGCTGGAAAGGACCTATCCTGGAGCGCCCTCCACTCTGGTGGTCGGGGGCTGTGTGTGCAGAGCAGAGGGTGCTGTAGCCTGGGGGAAGATGCTTTGGTGACTGGCATGTGGCCCGGAGAAGTCCTAGAGTGGGGTGTGAGCGCCAGGGAGGTGGGGCAGCGAGGGGCCCCTTGGAAAGCAGGGCTGTCTGGCGAAAGCCCAGGCCCAGGCAGCTCTGGTGAGTGGCTCCCATACCACCAACTGCAAGTTCACAGACATCGCCTCAACTGCCCAAACAGGGAACATCAAAGCGGACTTGATGAATGGAACAGACCTGTGGGTGGCTCTGGGGCAGGGCCGCTCCACCTGCGCCCTCCTCCAGACACGCCTATGCCACTCTGCATGCTGGATGCTTTGTGGAGAAGCACTGTGGCCCCAGCCCCCAGGAGAGGGGAGCTCTTAGGAATGGTCGCCCGCTGCTACAGATCCACCTCTTAGCAGGCGAGGCTCATTTTCTTTGTGCGCCCAGCACCGGCACAGACACGAGCTCAGGAAAGCACTATGGCATGAATGAATGAAGGAGCCGAGGCCGGGCAGAGCCGGGGGAGGGCCAGACAGGGTTTGTGGCAATGGAGCTCCCTCTGGTGCAGCAAGCGCACCTGCCAGGTGTGTAACTCACAGCCATTCCTGCTCTCTGAGCTGCACAGACACGCGCTGGCCAGGGCGAAAGCACATTACCTGGGTGATTAACACCCATGCGGCTTAGTGCATAGAAGCGAAAGGCTTTTTTTTTTTTTTTTTTTTTGAGGCGGAGTCTTGCTCAGTGGCCCAGGCTGGAGTGCAGTGGTGTGATCTCCGCTCACTGTAACCTCCGCTTCCTGGGTTCAAGCAATTCTCCTGCCTCAGCCTCCTGAGTAGCTGTGATTACAGGGACACACCACCATGCCTGGCTAATTTTTGTGTTAAAGGCTCTTTTGTTAAGAGAAGAGGTCGGCTTTTTTCATGAGGTGGGACCCAGAGTGCTTTCTTCAGAGAGGTGGAATTCCACCAACGATCACATTGGGGCACAGGAGAGGGGACCGGGCACCTTTCTGCCTTTGGCTTGGCTGTTCAGAGCCTGGAAGAAATGCTCTGTGTACACAGTGGTTGGTGATAACGTCTCTCTCAAGCCATACGGACGAGGCCAAAGTGAGGCAAGAACTGGACACTTCTAGAATGGACTCCAGACAGGTCAGCTCTGAAAAAGCCCCACTCTCATGTAAACATACAGCATTTTTACCTTTTTTAAATTGAGACAGAGACTCGCTCTGTCGCCCAGGCTGGAGTGCAGTGGCGTGATCTTGGCCCACCGCAACCTCTGCCTCCCAGGTTCATGCAATTCTCATGCCTCAGTCTCCTGAATAGCTGCGATTACAGGTGTGTGCCATCACACCTGGCTAATTCTTGTATTTTTTAAGTAGACACAGGGTTTCACCATGTTGGCCAGGCTGGTCTCAAACTCCTGACCTCAAATGATCTGCCCACCTCGGCCTCCCAAAGTGCTGGGATTATAGGCATGAACCACCACACCCGGTCTCATCTTTGCCTTTAAGGACCGGCTGGAAGTGGATGTACAGTACTTGGACCCTAACACTTGTTCCAGTGGGGCTCCTCATGACACATCACAGTGTGTGACCTCATCAGTGTGCTGTGCCTGATGAGGTCTCTGCCTCATGAGGTCCCCTGGCCCCAGGTGAGTGCTCACGGACCAGCCCAACCTCATCTAGAGGCCACTTTATCCTAGAGCCTCTGGCCTTCTGGCCCAGGCTGCACCCCAGGCAGACACTGGGTGTCTCAGCAGACCTCCCAGGCATGTGCAGGGGAGGAGGGGCCAGCATAACAGAGAGGGCTCTGAAGGGCTTGGCATTACCTGGGGCCTCCATTTACTCATCTTTGCAGGGTGGGTGGGCTGTGGCCCATGAGGCGGAAGTTCCCACTTTGCTCTAACTTTTATCACGTGCCTGATGTAGTTTAGGTGTTTGTCTCCCCTAAATCTCGGGTTGAAATCTCATCTCCAATGTTGGAGGTGGGGCCAAGTGGGAGGTGTCTGGGTCATGGGGGCGAATCTCTCATGAATGGCTTGGTGGCCTCTCAATCACTGAGAGTTGATTGTTAAGAAGTCTGGGGTCCCACCACCTCTCTTGCCCTGTGGCATGCTCGCTCCCCTTTCCACCTTCTGCCATGAGTAAAAGCTTCCTGAGGACCCCCAGAAGCCAGGCAGATGCTGGCATTGTGCTTATACAGCCTGCAGAACCATGAGCCAAATAAACCTCTTTTCTTCATCAATTACCCAGCCTAAGGTATTTCTTTATTGCAACACACAAAGTACTCACACCATCTTTTTTTTTTTTTTTTTTTTTAAGAGATAGGGTCTTGTTATGTTGTCCAGGCTGGTTTTGAACTCCTGGCCTCAAGAGATCCTCCCGCCTTGGTCTCCCAAAGTGCTGGGATGATAGGCATGAGCCATTGTGCGGGCCCCTGCTCTAACTTTTTAATCATTTATACTACTGCTGTGATAATTACAAGAAGTGATGTGCACCGCCCACCTTCCCAAATTATGATCACTTTTATTCTGGGAAGGGGAGGAGAGGAAATGACATTTTTCTGGAGCTTGGGAAAACTTGTTATCCAAATAAAGGGGGGTAAATTTCTGGCAAAAACCACACTGCTGAATAACTAGCAGGTACTATTGAGAGCTAAATGCTGTGTGTATATACATACTTAACCCCACATCAACCCTACCTGGTGAGTATAAGAATTGCCTCCCAGGAGAAAGAGGCTTTTAGCAAAGTGAGATAATTTGCCCAAGGTCACATAGCTAGGTGGTGGCAACGAAAGGACTCAAACCAGGTCTGCCTGTCTGTCTGTCTCCAGGGCCGTTCTTTTCTAGAGATGGAGTCTTGCTCTGTTGCCCAGGCTGGAGTACAGTGATGTGATCTTAGCTCACTGCAACCTCTGCCTCCCAGGTTCAAGTGATTCTCCCGCCTCAGTCTCCTGAGTAGCTGGGATTACAGGCATGCCCCACCACGCCTGTAATTTCTGTATTTTTAGTACAGATGGGATTTCGCCATGTTGGCCAGGCTGGTCTCGAACTCATGACCTCAAATGATCTGCCCACCTTGGTCTCCTTAAGTGCTGGGATTATAGGCGTGAGCCTCCACACCTGGCCTGGAGCTGTTCTTAAATCTTGGACTCTATAACTCATTGTGAAAAGCCTACCATATGAGACCTTTGGGGAGAGAACATCCACACCCAGCTTGGCTCCTGGTCAGCCCCTGTGCAAAGCCCTGGCCACTGGGAAGCTGGTCATTGAGGTACCAGTGATATAAGGAGAAGGGAAGGACAATCCTGCACAGTCCTTCAGGCCCAACCTGCACCACCCTCCCACAAAACAAAAGCAAACTTAAAAAAATAAAATAAGCCAGAAAGAGGCTGGGCACGGTGGTACCCATGCCTGTAGTCCCAGCTACTCGGGAGGCTGAGGCAGGAGGATTGCTTGAGTTCAGGAGGTCAAGGTTGTTGCAGTGAGCATGATCGTGCAACTGCACTCCTGCCTGGGTGACAGGCTGAGACCCTGAATCTAAAATAAATAAATAAATAAATAAAAAATACCCACCAAACAAACCAGAGAGTGGATCTATCAAAATTAGATGCCAGAGGACAATGAAGGGGAAAAAAAATCCCAGGACACTCCCCTTTAGGTTAGCGCACCTATGAAAACTCGATGTGCAGATTTGCAGGTTACCTTTCACTGTAACACTGGAGTGATTCCGGCAAGAAATGCTTCCTACAGGGGAATGTAATACGTTCCCTCACAGCAGTTCCAGCCCAGTAAGCCCAACGCCTCACTTTCTAGCGGGATAGAGCTTTCCCTTCTGGTCCTAAAGGCTCACCACTCTCTGCAAAGCCAGACAGAAGTGCGGTCTCGCTTCCCCAACTGCCTGTCACCTCATGCCCCCAGATTTCAGCAAGGAAGCCCTGCTGGCCTGAGGGCTTGAGTACCCTCATACCTACACTGCAGGGAGATGTTCTCAGAGGCCCTGGACACCGCTGCCCTCGCAGCCCATGCCTCTACCTCTGGCTCTTCACACATCCTCACAGATGCTTTCTGGATCATTCCCATGGACAATTCCTCTTCCCTGGTCTGTCTGCAGTGTTTTTAAAGCCAAAGGACGCTTTTAAAAGTCTTTGCCAATTCACTTTTTCTGTTGTTAAAGACCAGATCTTGCTCTGTCACCCAGACTGAGTGCAGGGTCACAATCACGGCTCACTGCAAGCTTGACCTCCTGGGATCAGGCAATCCTCCCGCCTCAGCCTCTCGAGTGACTGGGACCACGGGTGCGCACCACCATACCCAGGTAATTTTTGATGTTCTGTAGAGACAGGGTATTGCTAGGTTACCCAGGCTGGTCTCGAACTTCTGGCCTCAAGCAATCCTCCCACCTTGGCCTCTCAAAGTGCTGGGATTACAGGTGTGAGCCACCGCATGTGGCCCCAATTAACTCTTTATTGCAGTCTCTACAAATAGTCAATGGAAGGCCACTGGGAATGGGCAGCCTCCCCTTTCAATTTAATTCCTTACCCACATTCCCAAACAAAAACAAACAGGACGAATTGCTCTTCGGAGCTGGCTGAAAAACCTGCTGCTGCTGTCAGAGGGCGGCTGTGATTTTCCTTCAAGCCAAGGAAGCGAAGAGGCTCCCGGATTCTGAGTGCCTTGGATTTTAGGTATAGGACAGATTCCTTTGTTCTTCCCTGACGGGAAAAGCCAGGCAACCTTTGCCCTCTCTGTCTTGTTGACGGCTGGGCAAACACACCAAGAGGTTGTTTTCTTTCATTAAATTCCTAATGAATAGGCGATACTGACAAGGCAACAGCGGCGCTTAAGCATGCAGCCTTTAAGACGTGTCTGAAGCCTTAATGTATCCGCGGCAATTATTAAATGACTTACTGTGTATGACCCTTTGATCATGAGCTGGCTCTCTGACAGGTGTCGCCTGGAGGCAATGCGTCGGCCTTTCAAGAGGCAGACCCAATCACGTAATGATACAGGAAGAATTTTCAAAGAATCCTGATCGGTCTCATCAGAGGGCAATAAAATCTTACGTCTTGTTGTGCAGAGAAAAAGTTTTACTTCAAAATAGCTCAGCACGATTATCATCTCTCTCTAACACTCAGATTCCTGCCCCACCCTGACTTTATGACGTGTATATTACAAGGAAGCTGGTCCCAAAAGTATGGGAAAAGCCAATTAAAATAAAAAGAAAAGAAGAGAAAAAAAAAAAAAGAAGAGAGAAGAGAAGACAAAGCAAAGAACGCATTTTCCACCAACCTTGATTTTTCACTTCGGCAAATTCCTTGTTGTATTCTTCCAGAGTTTCCCTAAGTTTCTGGTTCTCTGTTTCAATATCGTGCAGGCGCTGCACTTTGAGCTGGAGTTGCTGTCCGAGATCCAAAGCTGGTACGGGATCTGCACAACAGGAAAACAGCCATCACCCTACTCTGCCCCCAGAAAGGCCCCCTCCGCGGCGGTACACAGGCTCAGAGAGGGGCTCCCAGATATCAGCTCCAGTGGGATCCCCAGAGGCCACAGTCATGCCCCCGCAGCCAGCCCCCTTGCTGGATGGGAGAATTCTCCAGCGCTTTACAAAGGATGGACCCAGCCCAGGGTCCTGGAGGTGTGAAAACGGGGTGGGAACAGCCATGAGATTCACTGGTATTTGTCGATTACTCCTGCCTGGTGTGACACTTTCATGATTTTTATTCTTTGATGACATAAGTAGAGAAATACACCAGGCAGCAGCCCAGGAGATCAATCACATCCCCAGAGTTGCATGTGGAGGACGGACAAGTCCGTGGACAGGTGCCGGCATGTTTAAGGGTCCAGTGATTATGAGGTTGGAAGTAACACCTGATGCCTGAGAACGCCACACAGTTCACGGGACACTTTATGGAGATTTTTGTCTTTTGAGCCTTACAACGATCTTGAGAGAGGCCTCAGAAACTAAAGCCCAGGGAAGAGGAGTGACTCACCTGAGGTCACCCAGCTAGTTGGCTGGCATGGAGAATGCACACCTAAGTCTGTTAACTTAAAGTGATCATGCTTTTTTGTTTGAGACAGGGTCTCCCAGGCTGGAGTGCAGTGGCATGATCATGGCTCACTGCAGCCTCTGCCTCCTGGGCTCAAGCAATCCTCCCACCTCAGCCTCCCAAGTAGCTGGGACTACAGGTGCGCAGCAACATGCTGGGCTAATTTTTGTATTTTTTGTAAAGATAGGGTCTTCCTATGTTGCCTAGGCCAGTCTCAAACTCCTGGACTCAAGGGATCTGCCCACCTCAGCCTCCCAAACGATTATGGGCGTGAGCCACCCCACCGGGCCCTGAGTGACCATTCTTTACAACAAGGAAGGTCACTTGGTGAAGCAGAGGAAAGAAACACTTAGGCTTTATAAGAAGCCACCCTGTTTCATGACATGATCACTTTCCATCACGATCCTCCTTCACTAATGATGGGTGTTCAGAAGAGTCAGGGGTTAGTGGCTGCGGGTCCCAAGGCTGAAGACCCTTGCAGAGGCACAGCCGGTGGTGACCCAGCATGGCCCTGTCGGAGGCCAGCTGGCCCGGAGGCCACCGCACTCCTGACAATAACAAAGTGCAGGGCAGCACGAGCTGAACAGCAGCCAGGCCAGCAATGGGGTCTTGCGGCCAATTCAAGGCCACATCTGCCATCAGATTCACTTGCAGAAAACTGGATTTTAATCCAAAGTCGGAAGTCACAGGACCTGGAATTTACAGTACAAACTCACGGCTCTCACCTTTACTGTGAATTCAACAGGATGCAGAGACCTTAAATGTTCTTCCGCATCAATGCGATTTTTAGTTTTCCTTCTGCTGCCTAAGAGGCAATTATATTCCGCCTGCTAGGTACCGGGGGCACACTTCCTTTGGAATTCTCAGGCTCCGTCAGAGTGGAAGAATACCCAAGTCCACAGGGCTTAGAAAGATTATTGAATGTATTTCTGGTATGGGCGCCAGCGTCACTTATGAGATGGTTGTAGAGATTTAGTCTCCAGTCGAAGAATGCCAAACACCATGCCCAGCGGATCAACAAGAGTATATATTCAAGAGCTCACTTAATTTTCAAATGCCAGAGTCATTAATTTTTCAGACCACCCTAGGTTCCTGGAATCGAGGGCCAGGTCTACCATGCCTCGGTTAATGTATCCAGCGGGAGCCAGGGACTCTCTGGGATGCCAGCATCTTGGCAGAGTTTACAAAAGGCAGGCACTGGGATATGTTGGGCTCAACGTCAGCGGACCCTGGGTGCCGGGGTTTCGCAGTAACACAGTCCATCATGCAGAACCCTTGGCTGCTGGGCACTTACTCTGCACGTATACACAGTCTATAATTGCATCTCTTTCTGGCGCATGACTTTTCATTATTATTTTAATCAGCATTAAAATATTTATGTTAAATTTGACTCCAAAAGCTATTCTGGAGGCCGGCTGCAGTGGCTCATGCCTATAATCCCAGCACTTTGGGAGGCCGAGGGTGGCCGGATCGTTTGAGCTCAGGAGTTCGAGACCAGTCAGGGTAACATGGTGAAAGCCTGTCTCTACAAAACAAAAACACAACACCAGAAAACTAGCCAAGCATGGTGGTGCACACCTGTAGTGCCAGCTACTAGGGGGACTAAGGCAGAAGAATCGCTTGAGCCCTTGAGGTAGAGGTTGCACTGAGCTGTGATCGAGCCACTGCACTCCAGCCTGGGCAACAGAGCGAAATCCTGTCTTGGGGAAAAAAAAAAAAAAGGCTATCTTGGGTAGATGGTTCTTTGTAAGCAGGAGTCGTGATAACACAAAAAACAGAATTACTGAAAACATTCCAGGTGCTGTTTGTAAAAAAAAAATTCTGTAACTTCTCTGAATACCTTCACCTTCTCAGCCTGCCCCTCTTCCCTACCTTCACGGCCTTGTGCTGGGCAAATGGTCTCAAGAAAATGAAGAGCCTGTTCACAGCCTCCTTTTACAAAACCACGACTTACACTTGACATAGAGGTCAGGGAAAAGGAGGTAAAGAGAGGAACCTTTGCTCACGTATAAAATTATATTAAGAGTTGCTCATGTAGGCTTTCTAGCACAAGTGCTAACAAATTATATCTTTAAAGAACAAAGCTAGTGTACTGCCTGCCCTCCCTAAAAGTTCTGTCAACAACATTTCCAGTCCATTCTTTTCAAAAGGCCAGGATCCCATTGTATCTGCTTCGAATTAAAAAATAGCTTCTCCCATGCGGTTAAGCAAGGAATCCAGTGACATATGAAAATGACACGCACATTATCAAGTGAGGAGGAGCCAGACCTTTACACCAATTTTCAAAGCCTTATACTGTAAATGAAAATTCAGGCCATCTCTTAATCGTTCACTATGGCATGTATATTTAGTCTGACACTATTAAAAGTTAATGCCTACGTAGCAAAGCTGGTCACAGACTAAAGGATCAGCTAAATGTTCAAACATCACTGTGCATTAAACTCCAAACTTTACTACAGTACATTTGAATGGCTAAATTCCTACAGCATATGAATATTGTTTTGGGATATGTAAGAGGCATTGCTAAAGAACTTCTTAGGCTTAATTTTTATTACTTGTATTAAAGGAACAGCTAATTACCGCATGACAATATAATGACTCCAGCATGTTTGGGCTAAAGACCAAAACAATGAATTTTGGCATGCCAAAACCCAACCTGTGTGTTAATCTACGGAAATCATAGCTTTTTGTCTCGTTAATGATTTCCAATGCCATTTAAACCCCACACAAGGATTGTCAGGTCTTATGCGAACGTCAGATGCCTCCGATCTTAGCAGCTCAATTAGGGAATTGTCTGGAGAAGGCAAAGAGGACACACCCATACATAAAACAGGAACACACAAAATCCGGTAACCCCTGTCTTCCCAGCCTCCTCCTCCGATTCAACACGCTTTCCTGCCGGCTCCACCCACCCAATGCGACAATCTTGTAAAGTGTTTTACAATCATCTGATACTTAATTCCTAAAGCAATCTTGGAGGTATTATATAGCTTGTTATGCAACACAGGGCTCAAGGAACATAATTATTACAAACAACAATACTGTACATATTCAGCACCTTTTCCTAAGTGCATGCAACATTATCTCGTTAATTCCAGCCATCCCAGTCAGAGGCTGGTGGAGCTCGCTCTGCAATGTATGGGGTGATGCATCTCACCCAGGGAGGGAAGGAAGAAGGAAAGAAGCCGGCCAGGCAAATGAGGATGAAAAATTCTCAGTACGATTTCTGCTTACTGGCTGGGCACAGTGGCTCACGCCTGTAATCCCAGTACTTTGGGAGGCTGAAGAGCGAAGATTGTTTGAGCCCAGGACTTTGAGGCCAGCCTGGGCAACATAAGTGAGACCCTGTCTCTAGAAAAAATAAAAAAATTAGCTGGGCATGGTGGTGCACTCCTTGGGAAACTGAGGTGGGAGGATTACTTGAGCCTGGGAGGTGGAGGCTGCAGAGAGCTATGACCTTTTTTTTTTTTTTTT